CGCATGCATATTATAAAATTAAACCTGAATCATTGATGACAAGTTCTTGATTTAGAAAGCCAACAGCTGCTCTCTCTTACTAGTTGTTTTATTTCTTCAGTCCCTGATGACGACTTTCATCCGTGGTGCTAAGACAAAACCACGTCAGTCCAGCGTGGAATTCCCAAAGGTAGAGCGCCAACACAAAACTCCGGTAGCTGACAAATCGCGATTGAACCAATTTATTTGGCCGTTCTAACAGACATGCTGAAAAAAATCAGAGGATTGTTTTATTGTTTTATTTCCTGTTCCAGCCCTTTCTTTCTCTCTTGCTAGACAAATTTTAAAATGATACGAGTTCCTCTGGTTCCACAGTGTAACGGTTTGCACATCTGCCTAATCTGACTGATCCTGAAAGGAGATGCGAATCCCAAATCCGATAAAAAGAAAATGTTCCAAACATGTGGCGTGGCCTGCTTTGGTGTTCCTTTGTGAATAAGGCAGCGTGTTCAACTCACACCCTCAGCATCAGCAATTACAACTTTTTTAATTCACTCATTTTTTGCCCACTCAGCTAAATCCTTTCCAAAAAAACAAATATTGTTTGAAATTTAGCCAACAGTGATGTTATTTATGAAAGTAAAAATCCAACAAGCTTTTATTGCAGGCTTTTAAGGTCCTGCCCTTGTTAACACAGTTTGCACAGTTTGTTCTTGGCTCTATTGACTTGAACATGTGACTTTTACTTGTTTTATTATGCAGCTAACACACACACACACACATATAATATATATATATGTAAGAATGTGCTCACTTAAAAATACATGATTGCACAATTTTGGAAACCCCTAAATCTGAGATCCTTTTTTTCTTTGGTTTTTCTTTTGTTTGTTTGTGTTGTTTTGTTTTTTCACATCAGGATGAAGTTTAGCCTGTTGTCTGCAGGAAAAGAAAAGCCCTCCCTTTAAATCCCTACCGTGAACTTTGCCCTCTCCTCCAAGATCTCATGGCCAAGCAGTGTCGGGGTAATGGGTCTCTCCATCCAGCTCTCCCCATAGCTCATTTCACCTCTGTGCTGTCTGGATGGCCCATCTGTCAGGCCTTCTCTTGGTCTCCCACAAGTCTCATCTACAGTAGGATCTACAGTGGGACCATCTCCTTTGCTTCTAGGAGGTGAGTGCTCACAGTTTGTAGATGAAGAGTCGATATGTATGGGAGAAGCTCTTTTGCAACAAGGCCTGCTCACGCTGACCCCGTCCACTGGAAAAGGTACTGGAGTAAATGGAATAGCCATCCATGGTGGTCTTAGTGACGTACTGTGAACAAGGACACATGGTGAATTAGAATAAACACAGGGGGAACCACATGGACATGCACAGAGAGCATGGTAGTGTACTTACAGCGGATCAGTGCAAACACTTCCAGTGAGTCAGAGCGGGTGAAGGAACTACAGCACAGGGTTTTATAGAATCAAGCTTTGTTTCCCATCTGATCTGTGCAGGGATTGTCTCACTCCATACTCTTGCTGGCTCATCAAAAACACAGGGCAGTTTGTGTGACATCCACGTAAGCAGTATCATAGTACCTGATTTGTTGAAAGTCTGTTCTCGGTTTCAGATTACAGAGGGACACAGAGTCATGTGCTTTATGGTGTGTCTCATCCAACAGCACAAAAAGGGCGCATCCTGTTTCAGTAAATCCCAACAACGCACTTGTAAAAGGTCAAATTTAATACAAAAAATACCTATAATTTCAATAAATTAACACTAACTATCACATAAACTCAAATTTGGAGCGATCAAAGAATAAACACCTAAAAGAACTCAATAATAATAATAAAGTTTATCGAGACATCATGCATTTTCATGCATCTTATTTGAACAGTTTGTATAAGATCCTCTAAAAATCTGGTATCGGGATGTCTAAACTAACACTGAAAAACTAAAACCTATACTGCTACTGAAAAGAGAAAGTGGTACTTATGATCACATGAGACGAACGTCGTATTTTGACACGTCTTTAGCGTCGACACATCTGTAGGAAAGCCCCTGTTTTTGTGGGGGGAATTCCCGCTGCTAAAAATCCCAATATTACCAATTGGGTTCATGCCGCAGGAGGCGGATCTTTGTTTCAGCGAAACTGAAACTAAAGTTGAGTTAAAGGGTCATTTATGATTTATGGTATTTTAACAGCGTGCCTCCTCAATATTTTTCCTAGACTTACCTCGCTGTTATCCATATTTGTACTGGGATTCTGAATGCGCTCAGTGGGCTGCTTGGAAAACGGGGTCAACTGTCTGAAGTTCTCCAAACCTACCCTCGTAAACGCATCTCGTAAAAGCCGGAAGCGTGTCGTCATTAGCAACAACAAACGCACCTGCTTAAATGAGCGCGGAGCTCAGCTGCGCTCTCCTTGTTGTTGTTTCGCTTTGGGTCCTGAGCACATTTAACTGTAGTCGCTGGGTAAAGGACAGCTGTCGCCGGTCAGCGGGCTCGCTGTTTATCGGCTGCTCTGTTTCTTCTGCTCGCCTCCTCCTCTGCAACATTAATGGTAGCTTAGCATGCTAGCAGCCGGCTACGTTGTGGAATGCATGTGAATGGGAGCGCAGTTCCTCTTTGCGTTTATACCAAAAGAGGTAGTTCTGCCTTTATTGGCCAACCCCGTGAGAGATAAATCCTGAGAGACTTCGCGTAAGGGATTCAGAAACTGATATGGAGCCAACTGCGGGCTGTTTGGATATCGGCAGCCTGACCAGCACCTTGCCGGTGATCCCCCAGAATAAACTGACTGACCTGTACTACCTGAGCGGAGGGGGCTTCGGCACCGTGTTCAAGGGGAAGCACTCCGACTGGAGGACCACTGTGGCCGTCAAGTGCCTCAAGCTCGACTCTCCAGTTATAGAAAGGTACTCAACACCGATCAGGCAACTTCGCGTAACAAGGTCTAGGTCACGGAGACACATTTGAGCCATTTATAGATGAATTGCACTACTACAGAAAAACTTTGTGCTGTTTCAGGATGATGCAGTAAAGTCTGCCTGTACTTACTCCACAGTAACAGCTGCAGCACTTGACCTAATTTGAGTCAGATGTGAGGCCTTCTTGTACATTTCAATGAAATGTGTTCAGAGTGCTCGAGCAGGTTTTTCATTCCTCTGGCAGGAAAAAGGCTAAAGAGTCTCTGTGGCTTACGTGTCCAGTGACTTCCAGCTGGAGGGCTAGTTTGCTCAGACTGACACAAATCTGAACTGCACTATATGTATATATATTTATTATTATTATTTTTTAAATCCTACACTCATTCTTTATTTCTGGAGGCATGCAAATATACCACTCTGTTATAAAATTAAGTCCACCTTTTAATGTGAAATTCTTAAGCTTGTTTCACAAAACTCTTGTTTCCCAACAACAGTGAACCAGCCCAACTGGATTTCAGTCAAATGTCCAAACATCATGACTCAGTTTGGTATTTATTGGTCACCTAGTAATGGGTCATTCTAAACATCTCTGCACAAATTCACAAGTGAGAAAATCTCAGATTTCTGCGTGTAACATTTTACTCCTCCGTGTAATCAAGAGTTTCAGCAAGATTGTATACTGCATTTTTGGTCTGTGTTTCTAGAAGGATTTTATCTTAAATATTCATTTACCTCACTATCACAAAAGTGCTGTCAGTGCTGTTTTGTTTTTGTTATTTATTCTGTGTCTGGCTGTGTTTCAGAGAAAGGAACTGCCTGCTAAAGGAGGCCGAGGTACTCCACAAAGCCAGGTTCAACTACATCATCCAGATCTTTGGTGTCTGCAATGAGCCTCGTATCTTCTGCATAGTCACGGAGTTCATGAGCAATGGATCTCTGGACCGGTTACTCCATGAGGTAGCTCATCAAGTTCACTTCCTATCACTAGGAACTCTTCTAGTCTGAGCAATACACCCTTAAATAAACCATTTAGATTGCCACTGAGTGGCACCAGTTTTCTCTGGTTTAAATAGTTAGCAATGAGAGTTGCCCAGACTACACACTGGAAAAAATTAAGGTTTTATAGTTGTTGCATTTGGATTTTTGTTGCCAAAAGAGGTCAGCTGAGGGAGTTGCATTGGTCTGTTGTTTTTCTCTCCTGTGCATCACTCATCATGTGAGTGTATGACTCTTTTTCCTTTCAGTGGGACTATAAACAAAAGTGAAAGCTCGAAGTAATTAGTATCTGATGAAACATAAAAGAAAGTAGGGAAAGAGAAGCCGAGCACTGAGGGAAGCAGACAGCTATGCACAAGGGAAATTCCCACTGGGCTGAGTGTACTAATTTTTTCAGTCTTTATTTCAAGCTCTTGCATTGTTTTGTACTTTCACTGTAGTAAAACCCACATTTCCCTCTTTTATTTATACATTTATGATATCTTTAGCCCATCTTTGTAATCTCTGCCTTACAGAAGGACGTGTACCCTGTTCTTGCCTGGCCTTTGCGTTTGAGGATTCTGTATGAGATCGCCCTTGGAGTTAACTTCCTTCACAACATGAACCCACCCCTCGTACATCACGACCTAAAGACCCAAAACATTCTGCTGGATGGTGAATTTCATGTTAAGGTATGCAATAAGTATGAGGTGTGTGCAGAACAGGAAAATCTATGACATCACCTTAAACCGTGTCAGTGTGTTTGTTGGAGCTGTAACAAAAGGTTACAGCTGCTTAGGTGGTTACAGTTATAGTCACATGTATTGTGTACGTTACCAGACTAAGTTAGACATAGTGGTTAAGCAGCACATACCCTATGTACTGCTTTTCTGCTACTCTTTATGAAACGTAACATTTTTATTAGTATAAAAGTATATAAAACTGTCCCTGGTGGAATACTGCACCCTGTACGGTCCAGGTCCTCTTAAACTGTATTTTTCAGGTTGTTCAGACTGATTTCTTTTTCTTTCATGGCCTAATTAAAGTGGATATATTATACTCATATCAACTCCATATTTAAGTTTTTGGACTGTAAAACAAACTCCTCTCCTTTAAACTTTCTTCTGATTGGCTGCCCCTCACAAACAGAAGGTTCAAACAGCAGGTGGGTGGTGCTAGTCTGCTGACACTCAGCGCTGTGTGCCTAAGATGAGGACATAAAGATAATACAGTATCAGTAAGAGGGGATAGAGATAACAGTAGAAGGGGGAAAAAGCTCCCTGAAACTGACTATTTAGGGCAGTTTGGGTATCCACCATTGTAACAGGAAATAAGAAAAGCATAATAACTTCCCCTTAAAGATCTGATATTATAGAAAAGGCTGTCCTCCCGCTGCAGTTATCAACCTTATTTGACTTTTTGTCACGAATTAATTTAAGACTCATAAAATGTAAAACTGACTTTGTATAACTTTGTCTGTCTGCGGTTCACGTCTTGCTAACTTTCTGCTTCTCTCCAGATTGCAGACTTTGGCCTATCGAAGTGGCGACAGCTGTCAGTGAGTAGAGGCTCGGGGTCCAAGCCAGCTGAGGGTACAGTGATCTACATGCCCCCTGAGGAGTACGAACCATCCAAGAGCCGTCGGGCCGACGTGAAGCACGATATGTACAGGTAAGACACCAGAACCCAGTAACTATTATGTAGAAGTCAGTCTCAAAATGTAAACTCTCCCCTGAAGATTTAGCAGAAAAAGTCTCTATGACTTATCTGTGTTACTATAAACTCTGATAACTTCCGTGTTTGTTGAGCACAATAAGCATTTAAGGGAAATGAGGCTTTCCTTCCTGTAAAGATGAAACAGAGTTCCTGCCTCAGCTTGCATAGGTTGCATACCACTGCGGGGCCCAGTGTCAAAGGCTAAATCAGTCGTGCCAGACAAAAAATCAGACCTAACTGTTGAGATCCACGAGTCTATCAGAAAAGGAATTCTGATTATTTTTCTGCTTTGATAAGAGAACTCTACTTTCCGCTGATGCAGTCTTTGTAAATTTTGCGCAAGAGGTTACGCTCGCTGCAACGGGTCAATCAGTAATGGCTTTGAGAGTCATCCCTGAAGCTGGCTTGTGGTAGAGTCCCTCAGCTATAAGGGGAAATGCCAATTTCTGGCAACTTAGTAACTCTTCCCTTAACTGTTTTCCTCTTTGATAATTGGATTCTAGCTATGCCATCATCATGTGGGAGGTGCTGTCCAGGCAGATCCCGTTTAAAGGTAACTGCTCGTGTTGGGGGGGTTCACGTCATACTT